AGGCGTCGCCTCAGCATGCAGCCCATGCGAGTCATAGAGACGCTCATCCTGTCTACGTCGTCTCGAGACAGCTCTCGAGACTTCATGGGTGTACCTTCTGGTCGCGCCGATGGAAACCTCCTTGCATCAACTTCAACAATCCTCGCTGCCACTACATCATCACCGCCAGGGCCATGACCTCGACGCCGCATCAGTAGCAATAGCATGCACTAACTTGCTCTTGAGATACATGACGCCCTTCGCCCACGCCTTCTTCGCCATCCTCCTCCTCGTCGCGAACATCCTCATGATCGTCGTCACGAGCTCCGAGGCGACGCGTGGCGCAAGCAGTGTCTTTAACGAGGGGCGATGCGCTTTTGTCCGGATAAGGGAGCGGGATAAAAGAACGTGTCCGGATACGACAGCCCGGTCCAGTCAACTCCGTATTTGTGGAAGTGCAGGATGACGGTGACGTGGACTGGGCGGTCCATCACGCAGCTGTCGCTCCACCGCCGGCGCGCCAACCCCGGCGGCTTGGGCTACGGCCTCGAGCACATCCCGTTCCTGCTGCTCCATGCGTACAACCTCTACTGGTGCTTCCAGACGTCCGGCGATCCGTACCGCATTGCCTTGGCCGAGCTCGAAGAGCAAGGCTTCAACATGGACCGCATCTTGAACCCGCCGTCAGAGGACGATCTTGCGGGCCTCGCCGCCTCGGCGCTGCTCCAGGCTGGCGCCAGCGACGCGCCCAAGAACCCGACCGATGACATGAGCATTCCGCCGCTCCCGAACCCGTTCTTGCCGGCCATCATCCCGCTTCTCTTTTGCGTGACGGTCGTCTGCTTGCACATTCTCATGCGCCTCCTCCAGATCTGGTCGACGCGTGTTTTGACCTTTATCAAGTACAACAGCGTGGCCAACTTGACGGACGCGACCTTTGTCAAGGTCGTGCCCCGCGCGTACCGCGGAAAGAGCGTCATGGTCGAGCTCGAGCAGCACACGCTTTCGAACGGCGAGAAGAGCGCACCGTTCTTCATGTTCCAGAAGCGCAAGTACGTCGGCGAGGTCAACAAGGACGACGGCTCGGTGTGCTTTCGCAAGCTCAAGGCGCCCGTCACCAACGCGGTCGAGTCGTACGTCAAGGCCAAGGGTATCGATGCGGGTGCGCAATACACGCGGGCGCTGGACCTCTACGGGCACAACGAGTTTAGCATCCCGCAGCCGACGTTTGTCAAGATGTTCCAGGAGCAGCTCGTCGAGCCTCTGACCGTCTTCCAGATCTTCTCGGTCTGCCTCTATATGCTCGACGAGTACTGGCAGTACTCGCTCTTCACGCTCGTCATGATCCTCATGTTTGAAGGCGTCACGGTCTTCAGCCGCCTCAAGAACCTCCAGACGCTTCGGGGCATGGGCAACGTTTCGCGTGACATTTACGTCTTCCGGTCGGGCAAATGGAGTACCGTAAGCTCGTCGGCGATCGTACCGGGCGACATCATCTCGGTCAAGCGTATCGTCGAAGGCGACTCGACGGTCCCGTGCGACTGCCTCCTCCTCCAGGGCAACGCGGTCGCCAACGAAGCGACGTTGACCGGTGAGAGCGTGCCGCAGATGAAGGAAGCGATCGGGCTCAAGGCCAACGCCGACGACCTCGCCGCGCCGCTTGACATGAAGTCGGGGCACAAGGTGCACATTCTCTTTGGCGGCACCACGATCATGCAGCACGACGCCGGCTCGTCGGTCACGAGCATTCCGGCGACGCCCGACAAGGGCGTCCTCGCCTACGTGCTGCGGACCGGCTTTAGCGCGTCGCAGGGCAAGCTTGTGCGCATGATTGAGTTTTCGTCCGGCAAGGTCACGGGCTCGACGTGGGACGCGGTCGGCCTCGCCGTGCTTTTGCTCTTCTTTGCGATTCTGTCGTCGGGCTACGTGCTGCGCGAAGGCATTGCCCGCAAAGGCCGCGTGACGTTCGAGCTCGTCTTGCGCTGCGTGCTCATCATCACGTCGGTCGTGCCTGCCGAGCTGCCGATGCAGACGGCGATGGCGGTCAACACGGCGCTCCTCGCGCTCGTCCGGCTCTCGATCTTTTGCACCGAGCCGTTCCGCATCTCGCTCGCAGGCAAGGTGGACATTTGCCTGTTTGACAAGACGGGGACGATCACGACGGACCAGCTCACGGCGGTCGGCGTCGTCTCGTACGACGAAAGCGTGCCCATGACGGCCGCGATCCAGCCGCACCAACCGATGCTGCAGTCGCACCTGAACGCATGCCTCGTCCTCGCGGTACGGCGATTCTATCAAGTTGATAAATGCTCATGGCGCGTGGTTAGGGTTGTCATTCGCTGGTCGAAATCGACGGCAAGATGATTGGCGATCCGGTCGAAGAAGCGTCGCTGCGTGCGATCGACTTTACGTACGACGTCAAGAGCAAGACGTGCGCGCCGAACGCGACGAGCGCCGAGCGCGCCGAGTTGAAGGGCGCTCGCGTCCAGATTCTGCACCGCAACCACTTTGCGTCCAAGCTCCAGCGCATGAGCGTCGTGGCGCGGTGCCAGTTTGGCGGCCACTCGCGCCTCCGCGTGCTCGTCAAGGGCAGCCCCGAAGCACTCGCCAAGCTCGCGACCGATGTCCCCGACTGGTTTTGGCCCACGTACCAAGACATGGCCCGCCGCGGCATGCGGGTGCTCGCGCTGGCGTACAAGGACTGCGAGAAGGGTCTCTCGGAGGCCGACGTCGGCCACAAGACGCGCGAGTGGGCTGAGAGCAACCTCCGGTTTGCGGGCTTTGCCGCGTACCAGTGCCTCGTGCGCCGCGACTCGGCCGAGATCCTCCAGCAGCTCAAGGACAGCTCGCACGCGGTCGGCATGATCACGGGCGATGCGACGCTGACGGCGGTCCACGTGGCCAAGGAAGTCGGCATCCTCACGCGCCCGGCGCTCATTCTCTCGGGCGGCGACGTGACGTTCGAGTGGAAGTCGGCCGACGACGACAAGGCGGTCGCGGCCTACGCCAAGAGCGCGATCGTTCAACTGAGCAAAACGTACGACCTGTGCATGGACGGCGCGGCCTTGTCGCGGGCCAACGACGTCGACGGCGGCGTCTGGAATCACCTCGAGCTCATCCGCGTGTACGCGCGCATGACGCCGGAGCTCAAGGAGCGCGTGCTCACGTCGCTCAAGACGTGCGGCCACTTTACGCTCATGTGCGGTGACGGTGCCAACGACGTGGGGGCGCTCAAGCAGGCGCACGTCGGCGTCGCGTTGCTCTCGGGGTTCGGGTCGGCCAACGCCGACAAGAGCATCACGGGCGCGGACGCGCTCAAGAAGAGCAAGAAGATTGTCGAGGTCGAGACGCTCTCGCGCGAAGGCCTCTTGAAGCTGCACGCGTCGGTGCTCAAGAAGAAGCTACTCGCGCTCAACATTGCGCACGACAACGTGACGGAGAAGTCGGGGTTGATCGACCTCCTCCTCGCCGACCAGGCCGCCAAAGAAGCGTCCAAGCCCAAGAAGCTTCTCAACCCGTTTGGCCCGATGACGCCCGAGCAGCGCAAGGAGCTCCAGAAGAAGCAACAAGAGGAGATTGAAGCCGACGTGGCCGAGCGCGAGGCGCGTGGCGAGTCGTTTGCGCGCTTCAAGGCGCTCGCGGCGTTTGCCAAGCGCCAGAAGGACCAAGCGTCGGCGTTCCAGGCGCAGCAAAAGGGCGGCAACGGGGGCTTTGCCAACTGGACCAACAACCAGGTCATGACGCAGTACATGGACGACTTTGAGGACGGCGAATTGCCGATGGTCAAGCTCGGCGACGCATCGATCGCGTCGCCGTTCACGTCGCGTGCGCCGTCGATCAAGGGCTGCGTGGACATAATCCGGCAAGGCCGGTGCGCGCTCGTGACGACGGTCCAAATGTACCAGATCTTGGCCATCAACTGCCTTATCTCGTCCTACTCGCTCTCGGTGCTGTACTTAGACAAGGTCAAGTACGCCAACTCGCAGATGATTGCGCTCGGCATGATGTCGACGGTCGCGTCGGTGACGCTCTCGCGCGCGACGCCGCTGCCCGAGCTCTCGCCAGTGCGTCCGATCTCGTCGATCTTCCACCCCGCGCTCTTTTCGTCGCTCATCGGGCAGTTTGCGCTGCATTTGGCCGTCATGGTCTACTCGACCAACCTCGCCAAGGAGTACACGCCGGTCGACGACACGCGTCACTTGACCGACATCAAGCCGCTCGTGTTTGAGCCCAACGTCATGAGCACCGTCATCTTCCTCGTCAACGGCGTCCAAACCATTAGCGTCTGCGCTGTCAACTACAAGGGCCGTCCGTTCATGAAGAGCATGACCGACAACCCGGGTCTCCTCTACTCGCTCGGGATCTCGCTCGTCGGCGTCTTCCTCCTCTGCACGGAGGCCATGCCGCTCTTCAACAAGGTGCTCGAGATCGTCCCGATGCCGGACCCGCGCTTTGCGCAGATCCTCACGGGCATCTTGACTCTGGACGTTGTCGGCGCCTTTGCGTGGGACCAGCTCTGCCTCCTGCTCTTTGCGCCGCACATCTTCATGGCGTCGCTCAAGGCCATCAACAAGTCGGACATCCGCCAGCTGATCAAGATGCTCGTGATTGCGCTCGGCGTCATTTACGTCGTCGCCAACATTGACTATGACGAGATTGAGCGCCAGCAAAAGCTCCTGGACGCGACCAACGCGGCCGGCAGCGACTTTGTCGAAGCCATTAGCAGCTAAGGCCGTCCATATACATTTGAGATTAGACTTCTTCGTATATCTCGTGCGGAGAAGGTTCTGCGGCGTTGACGTGATGCATCTCGCCCGAACGGTTGCGCTGGACGCTGGCGGCTGAACGCAGTCGAGAATCGCCCATGCGTTGCCTCTTGCTGCTGCTGCTGGTAGGCGCAAGCGCTGCCGACATGCGGCTCCGCCTCGACGCGCTGCCGGTTCCGCCCGCGGTAGCCCGCATGGTCGGCAAGGTTGGCAACGCTGCCATGTACTGCACCGGCATCACTGTCGGCCCCAGCGTCGGCCTCTAAGCAGCCTGCTCGATGGCTCATGTGCGGAACTAGATGGTGCTCACGTCCGCAGCCTGTGTGCATGCTGGCTTCATGACGTACGAGATCAACCAGGTTGTCGCCAACGTGGTCGGTGTGCACCGCCAGAGCGAGTTTTGGCCCGATGCCACGGATGACGGCGACTACGCGCTTCTCGAGCTGGACACGCCTCTCGGCGACCGCTTTGGGACGCTGCCGCTTGTCGGCGCGCCGCCATGCGTCATCACGCTCGTCGCCGGTTCGAGTCATTTGTTGTCTCTGGGTGCTTGTTTGATCGGTCTTGCATCTAGTGTACACGTCGCTCTCAGTTTCGACCGTGCAGTTCGCGCCCGGCTTCGACCCCGGCGTCCAAGTGCAGTGCACGATGAAGGTGGTCTCGACGTCGCGCTGCGTCCACGACTGCGACACGTCGAGCGTCGGGTCGCCCGGCGCACCGCTGCTCGTTACGGTGCGCAACACCACCGCGTCGACCACGTGCGTCGTTGGCATGCACCTTGTCGGTGACAGCGCGAGTAAGAACCGGATTGGGAGTATCGTCGCCGCGGCCAACGCCCACCTCTCGTGGCTGCAGAGCACCAAGACGACGACGCCGCCCACGACGACGACCGTGACGACACCGACACCGACGACGACCGTGACGACACCGACAACGATGACGACATCGACACCAACGACGTCGCCTACGACGACCATAGCACCCGAGACGGCGCCACCGAGCGACAAGAGCGAGGCGACGGCGGTGCCCATCTCGAACGCCTCGAGCGACGGGTCGAGCAGCACCAACACGATCGTTTACGTGTGCATCGCGGTTGTGCTCATTGCGTGGTTCATCGTGCTTGGGTGCATGCTGCGGCGACGCTTGAGCCAACAGCGCGACTTGATGACGCCAGCGACGGCCTCGTAGACCGCAACCCTACTAGTACTAAACTGCTCCTCAACTTCCATTATACGACGAAAATGCAAGTCTTATTCGGGCGATATGACGGGACTATAGCACGTAAAGGACCCAAAGCCCTCGCACAAGATCGAGTGCAGCACCAAGGCGCGGTTGTCGATCAAGCCTACAGGCAGCAGTTTGAGCCGAAGAGGAGGGTAGGGGTAGGTACAGCAGAGGATCGTGACGACGGCGTTCCCGTCGACTGAGAGCATCTTGGAAAAGTGGCGGCCATCGACGCGCACGGTCGAGACACGGCTGGCAATGTCGTCTCCATGTGCGTCGTCGTCGTCCGGAGCTTCTTCGACGAGGTCGAAGCGCGGCTTGAAGCCCACGTGCTGCGTCTGCAGGGCAAACGTGTCGCTTTGCACGCGCAGCCGCAGCGAGCCGTCCATCTTGGCCTCGATCTACCAAGAGAGCTAGCTTCTCGTACGAGACTCCGTCGAGGTGCTACCGTCAGGTACTTGTGCATGGCTTTGAGGCGGTCGGTGACCGTGCGCAGCGAGCGCAGCGTCGGGATCTCGACCGCAACGGTCGGCGATGGCACGCGCGGCTCCTTGTAGTTGTCGGCGCTCGCCATCGAAACGACGTCGATCGGAATGTTTTGGACAATGTCAATGTCGACCGTCTACCTCGCCGTGATGATGATGCATGACGCTGGAAGGACGAGGCCTACGCGGGCACGGAGTGCGAGGAACGAGCGGCCGTCGCGCTTGAGCAGCCGCAGAAGAATGCCGCTGGCCTCCTTGCCGGACTGCAGCGCACGTGAAAAGTTGGCGATGCTGAGCGTGAACGCGATCTGGTTCTCGGAGCGGCTCTCGAGCACGACGTCCTCAAAGAGCTTGGCCATGTTGAGGTGCACGAAGGTTTGGACGTCTTCGCCGCCTGTCTTCATGACGAAGCTCATGCGCTCGGGCGTCACGACGACGAAGCACGCGTCCGAGCTTGAGAGCCGCGCCATGTACTGCGAGATCTCCATGAGGACCGGGAACGAGGCCGCGGTCAGGTTGCCGCGGAAGCGCATGTTGGATTCCCACGCTCGGGCAATAAATGAAAGAAATTGAATCAACGAGCCAATCGTATCACCCGAGTCGAGACTTTTTAGCCAATCAAGCCCCACAATGCTCGAACTGGGATCGAAGTTGGGTCCCGAGGACTTCGAATGCACGGTGGCGAATTGGTGCGAAATACATTTACACGTGAAAAAGCCACTCGACCAATTGCTCATCGACGACGAGGATGATGGACCATGGCGACCTCGACCTGAGCTTCCCGAACCGCAACAGCACGCTCGTGCCCACGGAGCGCAGCCTCGTCGCGGACCGCAAGGCCAATGTGGAGAGCCTCCGGGTTCCGCCCAAGACGTCGGCCGAGCTCGGGCCCGGGTGCCAGCCCACGCTGCACCAGTTCTTGCCGGCATACGACGTGCAGGCCTACGTGCGCTTCGCCAAGATCCCGCTGCATATCAAGAACGCCAAGTACCCAAGCTTCGAGGCCACAGGCGATCTGCCCCAGCTGCGCGATGGTCACTACCTTCTCGCCAAGGACGACATCATCATGCATCTCCAAACGGTATCATCCGTGCGCTTCGTGCCTACTCAAACGATCCTAGTACCATACCGACATTGACGGGCACCTCAGCGCTACCCAGAAGGGCGAGTCGCTTGCGTTCAAGAGCATGGTCCAGGAGAAGCTCCAGCGTGTCCTGGTACTCCTCATCCTTTGCATCTTTCGTCCATCGTCCAAGCAGCGTGCTCCATAGCTCTTCTGTCGGTGGGTCGACCCGATCACGTACAAGGAGGTGACGCGGCCCGCGGTGCAGCGCGTGCTGCCGTTCCCGCTCAACCGCGTCTTGCCCAAGAAGATGCACCACGCGATGACGTCCGAGCTCGCGACCGCGGGGTACGCGAGCCAAGAGCAGGTCTACGTCGCCGCGCGTGACTGCTACGCCGCCCTCAACGCGCGTCTCGGCGACGGTCCCTTCTTCTACGGCGCTGCGTACGTATCTCAATCTCAAAGTCGTATCTCAAACCTCACCGGCGAATCTGTGGTTAGGCCCACGTCTCTCGATGCGGTTGTGTTTGGCCACCTCGTCGACGCGCTCAGCGACGTCCAGCTCCGCGACGTGGTGCAGATCCACGGCCCGCGCCTCCTCACGTTCGCTGAGACCGTCCGGTCGACGTACTTTGGCTCGAAAGCCATGGGCAGTCTCTGGACCGAGAACGTTCCAAGCCCGTTCTCGACGCTCTCGACGGCCTTCATGGGCGACTTTGCGACCGTGCCGCTTGCGGCGTACGTGCAGCCGTACCAGAGTCTGAGCTGGAGCAAGCGGTAGCCAGGTCTGCCAGCCTCGCCTCGTCTCATATATTGAGCTAGGGAGGTCGCGAAAGAAGAGGTGGCGGCGGACGGCGTGCACGACGACCCTGCGCAGCACGTCGTGTACGACAAGAGCTCGCGCAATGTGCTCTTTGGCGGTCTCCTGGCGATCGTCCTCTACGGCGTCTCGCAGCTGTCGTTCAGTATCGAGAGCTTTGCGGACGCATATGACGACGACGAGGACGCATATGACGACGCGTACGACGAGGATGACGAATATGACGCGTAAGACGACGACGATACTTCATCCATCCATGTAATACTTGCTGGTTACTCGACGGCCGGCAGCGGCACCGTGTACTCTTCGTCTGTCGGGTCTATCTCGGCGAGGTTGGGCGCCTTCTCTAAGAAGCCTTCGTAGCGCTCCTCAAACTCGCTCGGCGGTTTGCTCAGGTCCTACGCGCGACGGGTGTAAACGTAACAGCCTCGGCGTCTCGACTTCTACCGCGGCTTCGGACGACGCAACGACCGCGTGCTTCCAGCCGTTCTGCATGATGGCTTGACGCTTCTGTCGCTCCTTGTTGGCCTCGAGCTCTTTCGTGAGCATGGCCTGCCCGGGCGACGCGGCCGGCGACAGCGCGGGTCCGTGCCGCTCGCGTTCCTGGACCATGAGCCGAAGGCGTTGCTGGTGGAAGAGCTCGTAGTCGGACGCTTGGCCCTCGTTCAAAATGAGCTGCGACCGCGGCGTGTTGGACGTGCCCCACTCTTCGCGCGGCGTATTCAGCCGGCTCGGCAGCAGCGGCGGCGCGTGCGGCGCGTAAAAGGCTTGCGGGTGGTGCAGCGGCGGGTGCGGTTGCTGGTCATAGCCGTACGACGACGACGGCGGCGGCGGTGCGCCAGGTCCGTACGAGGCGTACGCACGGTACATGGTGCCCGCCTTGGCATTGGACGGGTACGCTTGCAGCGACGGTGCTTGGTTGTGCTGGTGGTGTGGTGGCGGCTGCATGTACGCATGAAGCATTTGTGGCGGATACCCTTGCATCGACGACGACGACGGCCCGTGGCGATGGGCGTCCGGGTGCCGCGGATAGTATGGCGCTGCGGCCGACGACGGCTGTGGGTACGGTGGCCGCGCCGTGTCATGCTCGGGGTGGCGTGCGTTCATGGCCGAGGGCGGCGGCTGCGTCGACTGCCCGGGGAGGAAGAACGAGGCCGGGCGCGGTGGCGGCGGAACACTGTGGTGCGGGTACGAGGCATGCACCGGCAGCGGCCGCGACGGCAGATAGTTGCTCGCAGGCATGGCCTTGTGTGACATCGGTGCGCGGGCAGCGGTCTTTGGCTCGGGCGGCGCCATCATCAAGTCGGGCTTCTTGGCCACGCCTTTCGCCCTGCTGTGTGGCGTCGCGATCGGCGTCGCGGCGCTTGACGAGAGCGTCCGCCGCTCACTCTCGTCGCTCGAGTCGCTGTTCTCGTCGAGCTTCTCGTCCTTGACGTCCTTGGGCCGGCGGCTGCGCATCAGTGATTTCCAGCGAATCTTGACCGCATCTTCCGTGCGCCCCTAATGATCGTTCTCGTATGTCGTTGTCGTAGGCATCAATGTACCACGAGGCGCTGTGCAATCACGGACCAGCGGTTCCCGAGCTTGGCTTGCATGTCGATGATGAGGTCGTCCTCTTCCTTGGTGTAGTTGCTAAGCGAAGCGACAACTTGAGCACGCCGGCGTCAACGAAGAGGTACCCTTTGTTGATGTTCGGGTCCAAGTGGTTGCACCAGCGCTCGCGGCACTGCTTGGACCTATAAGAATGGGGCATAAGGTACACCCGCGATCGACATGGCCTGTACGTTCGGCCGGCGATTTGAGCCGCGACTTGGCCCCAGTTCTTGCGCCCTTCTGCGACCAAACTCTTGAGCTTCGCATCTTCGTCTGGCGTCCAGTGGCCCTACAAGGCATGTGGGCGGGACAGGCCATAGATCGCGGTGGTACTACTTTGATCAACCCTGGCTTGAGGACCTTGGTCCATCGCTGCAAGCACTGCGTGTGGTTGCGACCTGCGACTTGATCGGCAATCGCTTTCCAGTTGCGCTCGCCACTTCGCTCGACAGCCAGGCGGAGCGACTCGTCTTCTGCCTTGGACCACCGGCGTGGATTGCTTTTCTCGCTGCCGCGCGCCGACGAGAGCGAACTTGGGGCCGACTCTGCTGTACGGTCCAGACCCGACGTGACAATCGGTGCTGGCTTTGGCGCTTCCTTGGACTTGGTTCGCCGGGCTGGGGGCGGTGGTAAGAGCTGCTTGAGGCTATCGGCGCGTTCGCGTTTGAGGGTGCCGGGTTCGTTGCTGGCGTCGAGCGAGTTCTGGAAGAAGGCCTTGCCGATGGCAGAGAGCTTGGGGGTGATGGCGCCCGAGACGGCGCCCATCGAGGCGAGCGCCTGGCCTCCTCCGTGGGGTTGCTGCGCGCTCATCGCTGGTACAAGGTCCGGGCCCAAGGGATCCCGATGCTGAACAGCCTGGCGCTGATGAATTCTATCCAAGGCCCGGAAAATCACACTAATTTGCCTACTTTTAACCAATCACAGCGCACCGAATTTGGTATTGGTCGCGCACGCCTTTTTTCCAGCCACATACAAAAACGCAGTCGAATCTGAGTCGAATCTGACAGGCTGGGATAAAAATAAGACATGCATTTCAACCAATCAGCGCGCTCTCCCATTTCAAATTTGGCCCCCTCGTGGCAGCACAGGAGGACGGCGAAGTCGGAGCGCGAGCGGCAGTGTCGAGCGCGGAGGGCGACGTGCTATGAGCCCGTTGGTAATATCTACTGCGTGGTACTAGTAGTACAAGCGAGCAGCGACGTCCGTCATGCCACGCAAAAGAAGAGGATCTCAACGACCCACACGCCCAGCTGAAAAACGCATTTTGAGTTTCAGCGATACGAACCGAGCTCTGAGCTCCGGCCTACGACGGTCCCAAGCGTCAGGGTGTATTCCTATGCGATTGTACGAGCCCCACACATCCATAGACGTGTCTAGTAGTCAAGAAGTAGCCATTCGAGCCACCAAACGCCTCCGTGATCCAACGTTGAAAAGCGCTGTTTTGAGTTTGAGTTTTCGCGTCGGTTTCGTTGCAATCTTTCGCGACGAGCTCCAAGTTGCATATTCTCGACGAGGTGAGCAAGCAAGATGAACCGCGACTACGTGGACGACGACGGCGCGGAAGAGGTCTCTCGCCCCGAGCGCGTCCACGACGCCATGCACCGCGTACTACCGGCGACGACCAAGAGCGCAGCCGTCGACGAGAGCGACCCGGCCGCCGAGGAGCTCGACGACGAGCTCCAGCAGACGACCCGAGCCGTTGTCAAGCCACAGGTAGTAAGTACCTCGGACGGCTCTAAGTTGACGCAGCGCATCTCTCGGTAGGAGCTCTACATCGACGTCCACGCGGACCGTCCGAACACCGCGCCGTTGTCGCCGCCACCGCGTATGCCTGTGCATGGCGCTTCTCGTCTCATGACCACATAGCGCCTCGGGACGTGTACTTGAACGCGTCGCTGCAGCTGTTGCATCAGCAAAGCGACATGCGCCAGCGCCTCCGCGGGCTCTGGTTCCTCGCGCAGCGCCTGCGCTGGGACAACCACATGGACGCCCACGCAATGGAGCACCTTCGCGCCGACCTTCTCACAACGATGAAGAGCCTCGGCATTGAAAAACAAGACGGCGATCGCGTAACTGGTATATGCGGGGTATCGTGTCGATGAACTCTGGCACTAGGTGCGCAAGACCGGGCACCTCGTGCTTCTCGAACCCAGCGTGCGGTCGGGCCCGCCGCCCCGCGTCTACTGCACGCTCTTTGAAGACGAGAGCAAGCTCGAGCTTGTGCTGCCGCGCGCCCCGACGACTCCCACCAGCAGTAGCTCGTTCCGGGATTCGTTCACAAGCCTTTCCAAGCTCTCGTCGTCGCTCGCGTGGCTGCTCCACGACGACCCGGTGCGCTCTCGCATCGAGTAGTTCATATATCGACGATTTTAGGACGACCACGACTGCCTTCGCATCCCGCTGTACGGCGCGCAGGTGCATGCGACGTCGGCCGAAGCAATGGAGTTCCGTCTCGACGTGCTCCACAAGACGTCCGACGCGATCGCTACGCGGAGCTTTTACCTGCGGGCCGAGACCGACGAAGAGTACATTGGCTGGATGGTCGCGCTCGAAGCCGTCGCGCGCTACGACCTCTTCCAGCTCCAAGCGTCCATGCGCCGCATCTCGGACCCGCGTACGCTCATGGCCTTGGTACATGCTTTATCATGGGTGTCAACTAGAGGACTATGTCTGCGTGCTGCGGTCGTTTTGCCCGATTTCGGTGCCGCTTACGTGGCAGCGCCACCGCATCGCCCGCGACGAGAAGCAGTCGGGCCTCACGCGCCGCGACAGCAAAAACATGCCAATGCTCCAAGTGCTCAAAGACATTGAGCGTGACACGTACGTCGTCGACGGCATGCGCCTCTCGACCGCCGACGGCATCCATCACGTCATCACGCACCTCTTGACGCGCGTCATGGCCTATCTCCACGAGCACGACGACACGATGCCGAGCGTGGCGTCGCCGGCTGCGCGCATGGCGAAGTCGACGTACTGTACCGCGTCCGACTTGATACAAACTTGATACAACTGGTAGCGAGGCCAAGGCGCTCTCGTTTGTGGAGCGCGTCCTCCGTGGCAGCACGCGCACGCAGAGCGGCGGGGACATTTACGACGCCATCTCGATTCTCTGCGCCAATACGCACGTGGTCGTGTGCCCCGTCTCAGCCGACGCGTCGCCCGTGACGCTCACCGTCGACGGGACGGACGACAGCGTCTTGACCATCCATGCGTCGGTGCAAATGGCTTTTCGCATCATGGCGCCCGACGCCGCCGGGGACTGGGCGCGCCTCCACGGAGCGCTCACGCGGTCCTTTACCTACGGCGGGATCGCCCAACCCGGCGTCGTCACGATCGAGATGCTAGACGAATAAAGAGTCTACACCGTTGCGACTGGTTATAAGAACTGCGGAATCAACGGCGTGCCGCCATCGAGGTACAACGGCTTGGTCTCGGACGACGACGACGACGACGCCGACGCCGAGGGGGCCGGCGATGCGACATCGGCACGACACAGCGGGCAGTTGCGCTCGCGGTCAAACCACTCGCAGACGCACTCTTCGCAAAACATGTGCGAACAGCGGAGCTGGACCGGCGTGTGCATGGCGTCGTAGCAGATCGAACACTCGGGGTTGCCGGCCTCTGCGAGCGCTGCGGGCGTCACGTACGCTCCAAACTCGAGCGAGAAGGTCACGAGCGACTTGAGCACATCGTAGATCTTTTGAGCTTGGCCGCCAAGCACATACCCCTAACCACGGCAGTATGGACGTTTGGACTGCGATATGGACGAACGCACCTTGAAGCCGAGATACGCAAGGGCAAAGACGTCGGCTACGATTTTCGACGCACACGCCTACGTATCGACATGGCACCGGTCCTGCAGGAGACGAGTGTCAACCTGGTAGTAGGAGCACCACGGAATTGCGGCGACCATCGTGCGCAGGAAGAGCGTGGTAAACTCAATGAGCGCGTAGAGTTTGCGCTACGATCGCATGAGATAACACGTCGTCTTGGCGCATGAACCTTGCGCCGGTACATGGAGGCGACGTTGACGTTGGGACCACGGCCGCAGAGCGGTGCGAGCTTCTCGAGCTTTGTGATCGCGACGAGCGCCTTGCACGTCATGCCCATGAAGCGCAAAATGTAGTCTACGCAAAGAGGATGACTGGTAGACCCTAGAGGCAGGCTGATACCGTTGGCCATGACGGCCCAGAGCACGTCGCCGAGGCTGCCGGCTTGCTTGTCGTCGAGCTTCTTGAGGAACGTGTCGTAGGGCGTGATGTCGCCGTTGAGGGACGCAATCGCAAAGAGGTCGATGAGGCACACGACGATGATGCCAAGAAGCGAGCAGACGCTCGACTTGTCCTTGAGCGCGACTTGCTCGCGGAACCGAATGTCGAGCGTAACGATCGCGATCGTGCCAATGACAAAGCCGGCAATGCCCTTCGTGTGCTGGTACGAGAGGTACAAGAGCAGCAAGATCGAGAAGGGCAGGACGTTCTGGAAGCGCCGAAAGAGCTGCCGCATCTCGGACCGCAGCTGGTCGTCTAACAAGGCGGAAAATGAGGTTGGCATGGACGTGCACGCGTACCGGACGACGACTCGTCGGTCGCTGCACGCACTGGCTCTGGCCCATCGTCTTGATCTAGCAAGAGCGACGCCGTGTCGCTGGCGTCGTCGGTCGGCGAAGCATGCGTCGATGCCACGGGGCTGTTGGGAGGTGGCACGACGCCGCCTGGGAACAAGAGAGACAGCGGCGACGACAAGGTCCGAAGAAGGCCGTGCCGGCTGCCAGCGCCAGTTGCACCCAAGGCGCTTGATGGCCGGTCGGTCGGCGCCGCTGCCATCGGCGACGTCGGGGTCACGGCCACGCCCGGGTCGACCTCATTGTCCATTGTCGTCTGAAACCCGAATATGCAACGTGATTAAAAACACGCAACTTTGGGCTGCGACATGCAAGAGTGAAGGAAGAATGGCACCGAAAGCCGCCAAGCGCAAGCAGGCGAGCAGCAAGCTAGCGCCCGTGGCCGCGCCAGCCGCGCCCGCGCCCGCCGGCGCCTTTGCCTACGAGTTCGAGAAGAAGGTTGGTTATGCGTCCTCGTTTCTCGAGGCCGACCGGGCCGCGTATCTCGCGCCGCCGACGTTCACGTCGCTCTACGACGGGTCGATCCAGAGCTTGACCAACCTCCTGACCAAGGCCGAGTGCCAAGACGCGATCGCGTTCTCCAAGAAGCTCGGGTACGTCCGCGTGACGCAGGCAGCGAACAGCGAGTACGCTTTTCGAGACAACGACCGACTCCTCTTCCAGTCGACGGACCTCGCGGGCCAGCTCTGGGCGCGGCTAGCGCCGCTGCTGGCCGACTCGTCCTTCGACATGACGAACGCCGTCGGGTGCAACCCGGCCATGCGCTTCTACCGGTACAAGACGGGCCAAGCTTTTGGGTGCCACGTCGACGAGAGCATTCTGCACCCAGTGACGGGCTATCGCAGCGCGTATACACTGCTCATCTACCTCAACGACGAGAAGGACTCGGACTTGGTCGGCGGCCACACGCTCTTCTACACGAGCACGACGAGTCAGACGAAGAAGAAGCGGAAGGGCAAGCCGACCGACGGACCGACGCCCGTTCTCGACGTCGGTCCGGACACGGGCAAGGCGCTGTTGCATGGCCACGGCGAACACTGCCTCGAGCACGAAGGCCAGCGCGTCGAGCGAGGTGAAAAGTACGTGCTTCGGTCCGACATTATGTTTCAGCGGTCCTAAGTCTTCTCAATAAGTCCGGATGCTGCAGCAGTCTTAAGTCTTATGTCCTCCGCACCGAAAATGAGTTTTTGCCTGTCGTCCTCTTGGTCGATTCTGCACTACCAAGTATTACAACTCAAAGAGTCGATATGCATTAGGTCAAAGATAGTTTATATGTTTAAATGCGAAAAGGATTAGGGATTAGGGTTGATGAGAGTGAGTCCCTCACGCTTAGTTGCGCCGTTTGTGCGACGGCGGCTGGTTGAGGTGGCCCTGCGGCTTTTGCGGCGCCGCCTTGTTGCCCTGGCCCTGGCGCGGGCCCTGGTTCGGACCACGGTTCTGGTTCTGGCCGCGGTTCTGGGCGGGCGGCGCGTAGTCGGCAACGCGCAGGCCCATGTTCTGGAGCCCCATCTTGCCAATCGTCTTCTTCTGGAGCGCGGGCACTTCGGCGAGACCGACGACGACGCTGTACTCGGCCGCCATGCTCACGAGGCGTTCCTTGGTCAGGCCGAGACGCTTCAAGTTGGAGTTGTAGTAGCCGAGCCACGCCTGGTACGCCTGTTCGGCCGCCTGCTGAAGCGCCTTGTCCGCCGCGCAGCGCTGCACGACCGGCGCGACGCGGCTCGCGCTCGTCGACGGCACGGGCCGCGTCGTCATCGGCATGTCGGACACGTCCTTGAGGAACCGCTTCTCAAACTCCGAGAGAAGCAAGACGCCTTCACCGTCGCGGCCAGCACGACCCGTGCGGCCGAGGCGATGGATGTACTGCTCGCGGTCCGTCAAGCCCACTTGCACGATGAAGCTGACGCCCGGGTAGTCGACACCACGCGCCGAGACATCGGACGAGAACATGATGAGGTTGTCGCGCTGCCGGAAGGTCTCGGCCACCTTGGTGCGGTGGCTTTGCGACTTGCGCGAGTGCATCTCGATGATCGGGTACCCAGCCTTCTCAAAGACGGCCGCCATGTAGCCGGCGGCGCGGGCGGTCGGGAAGAAGGCCATGATCTTGTACCCGTCCGGCGACGCCGCAATGTGCTCGAGGAGAAGCGCTTCGAGCGCGACGATGTGCTCCTCGAGCTTGCACACGATGACCGACTGGTTGACCTGCGCGTTCGTCTGATCTTCCTCGCCGACCGTGTCGACGTACTCGTAGTTCTTCTTGAGCGCAAGGCGCTTCATGTCCTCGAGCGACGACGGCAGCGTCGCCGAGAAGAGGAGCGTCTGGCGCGCCGTCGGCAAGTACGACAAGATGCGCTCGATTTCGTCGCGGAACCCCATGTCGAGGAGGCGGTCGGCTTCGTCGAGGACGAGCACTTGCACGTGGCGCAAGCGGCCTTGCATGCCACCCGTGTCATTCTTGATGTGGTCATGGAGGCGGCCGGGCGTGGCCACGAGGATGGCAAAGCCTTGGGGTTGCTGCAACTTGCGAAGGTCCTTGGACATGCTCGTGCCACCGACCATGCACGCCACGGGAATGTTCTTGTGGAACGTCGTGAGTTTCTTGGCCTCGACGTCGATCTGCGAGGCCAGTTCACGCGTCGGCGAGAGGATGAGCGCCAAGATCTCGTTGCTGTGGCGCGTCGTCTTGGCGAGCGTCTCGATCGTCGGCAAAAGAAAAGCCATGGTCTTACCCGTACCCGTCTTGGACTTGGCAAGCACATCCTTGCCCTGCATCACGATCGGCAGCGTCTCGTTCTGGACCTTGGTCATCTTGTCGTACTTCATCACGTCCGAGAGCGCTTGCGCCGACTCCTTCGAGATGCTCAGCGACTTGAACGAGACGTCGCTCAAATGAACGATGGACGTGGCGGTGCTTTCGCGGGCAGGCGCCGGCGGCGGGCCCACGGCCTGGGCAGTCGGCAGGGCCACAACCTCAGGCGCCGGCGTGGCCTTGAGCTTCTTGGGCATGGTCGGCGCGGGCGAGGCTACGGGCGTAGCGTCGTCGGTCGCGGCCTTGTTCTTTCGCTTCCAGTGGTTGCGGTTGCGCTTCGGTTTGGTGCTGGCTGCTTGGCTGTCCATGGTGCTTCTGGTTGCTGCGGTGGAGAATCAAAGCTGCGACCTTGCAGGGGCCGGAGGCTGTATTCGGCACATGCCGAATCTATGACACGCGCACCAACCAATGGCTCGCTTAAATTCGGGACACCTAAGCCAATCAAAGCGCGCGCGGTTGTCCGTCACAGCCAATCACCGCGCGCCATGGCCTCGAAAGATCGCTTTCGCCGAGAGATGGATCCGAATGTGCACAAGATGTCATGCAGCTTACGCTAGAACGACTAGCAACGACGAGGAGAACTTTCTAGGAATTTGCGAAGAGCACATGCGTCGAGGTCTTGATATGGGAGTCGAGAGGCGCACAAGCTCTAGTACGTAGTAGTAGGGTTTGGCGGTGCTATACATTGTACAATATGAGCACCGCCACACACATATGTATATCCTGACGTGGCGCTACAGTACGGTGCACACGTGGCGCGTATCGATCACAGAGGGGCGCACAGATGATGATGTGAGGGCACGCGTCGCTGACGCACCCACCATGCGAAGGAGACTAGGGTGTGGCGTGGCAAGGCGGTGCCGTAGACAGCGCGAAGGGTGTGTAAAGGCCATGAGGTTGCCCGGCGCGGCCAACTTGGGCAAGCGAGTGGATCTCGTAAATTCGTTGCACTTTGCCAGGTCATGTGCACTTTGCCAGGTCGTTGCAGTTATCGCGGGTCCAAAACGGGCGGTTTCGGAATTTAAATTTCGTTTTCATTTCTCAATTTGCTCAGACCATGGCGTTCCTCCGGCATATCAACCTGCTCGCGCGGCTGACAGCCCGATTCCAAGACGCCCAGGCCGCAGACGCGATCGACCTCACGGGCGACGATCAAGCCGTCCCGCGCGGCTTGTTCGTGGACGTCTTTAGCGCGCCCTGACGCCCGACCTACGAAGATGGTCGACTCGAGTTGCCGGACGCGATCGCGCTGCACCTTGCGGCTATGCTCAAGCCCGACGCGTCGAAGAAGTGGGGCGACGTCGACGCTGTCCGGCGCGCGATGGCCGACGTCGGCCGGTCCCTGTCCCGCGTCTGTTGCTGCAGTGACGACCTCTGCGACCTACTCGATATTTTTGGCCACGGAGCCGAGCGAGCCGATCAAATGTACGTTCGCCAACTCTATCGGCATTTCGATCTCATGAGTGCGATAGATTTGAAGCGTACCGAGAAACGATGGACCACTACATTAAG